TGTTTCTTGTACCCACAAATTGCGCTCTTCTTTCGGCGCCAGCACCGCGGTGTCTTCATGTATTTCATTCCGTCCATTTTTGTTTGTTATATTGTTTGCCTCTAGCAATAACTGGAGGCGAATCACCCTTTTTTTTGTGTGTATTTGTTCAGTGTTTTTTTTTGTTGGTTTGTTGGTTGTTGTTTTGTCGGTTTGTTCTTGACGATGGCGTTGAGCCTGCGTGTTTGCTTGGCAGGGGGAGATGCTTCACTGCGCCCCGCACTGCGGTCGCCGCGGGAAGGAGCGGGGCTCTCTCTTTTACGTCTTGGTTTTTCGCGGTGCTGACGTGTGCCACTGTCTCAGCTGACGTGCACGCCACCGAATTCGGTCGAAAAGACACGAAAAAAACAATTAACCGCTTTTCTTGGGCGGCTGCGGATGTTCTCGGCATTGTGTGTCTGCCGATGCGAGAAGGAAGTAATTAAGGAATGAAAAAGGGAGTGAGAGCCACAGAAACTCACCATAATTCCCTGTGAAAGTTAAACGGTGTGTGAACACCGCGGCCTTTCGGTGGTTTAAATGAATATATCATTTTTTAAAATATGCGGCCAAAATGTGAGTGGAACTGTGGGGATTGCACAGGGGCCTTCCACGACAATATTTTTGTTTTGTGAAAACGGTTTTTAGAGTAATTTTTGTTTTTGTTTCAAGGATAGTACGAGGGCCTTCCACGATAATATTTTTGTTTTTGTTTTGTGAAAACGTTTTTAGGAGTAATTTTTTTTGTGTTTTTTTTGGGTAAATCATTTTTATTGTGTTTAGCAGTGCTCGGGCTGCGGTCCCATTTCGAGTTTTAGTCATCTGGTTTTCCCATCTTTGCGTTTTATATCTCTTCTGTGTATGTATGTGCGTCCTCACACGCTTTGCTCCTCATTTTTGCTCTTTTTTTTGATCTTCAGGCATACACATACAAGATATATATATATAGATATATTGCAGTTGCGCGTGGAGGATGCCTTCGTAGATGGTGCTGGCAGCATTGTGTGCTGCGGTCTTCCGTGGCAATGAAGAGGAGAGAGAGACAACGGAGGAGAGTGCGCTGTGGCTC